ACAACTTCGAATAAGAAAAAGAACTAGCACGTACATTTTTACCTGCTGACGACTTTGTTCTTACTTACTAGTTTGTAACTGTTGGGATACTTCTAACTTCGTTTCCCGGATAGCCTACTTACTGTGCCCAACTAATGGGTTTTAGCACTTACACGTCTTTCTGTGTATCCGTTTTCGTGGAGTATATACCGCAACCGCCGGAGTTCTGCCTCACCAGTCTCAGAAGAGCAGATACGTCGCACTCTAGCTGTCAATCCCTGGACCAAATTGCGTTTAATATTTAGGGGAACAAGAGTGTGAAAATTAATGTATTGCCCGGTCCAGGTTTTCTTCCGGAATACCCTACGTTGGATAGATCCATCCTCTTGTCTGTGCAGAAAAAGATCGAGGAACGCGCTTTCGTTGTCCGCCTCAAACTCTACAGAGCACTTCAGCGAGGACGTGCGCTGCTAAACTTTAGCACCAGGGCGCCTGTGTCGGCGGTAATATCCGTCAGGCAGAAAATATCGTCCACGCACCGACCGTAGAAGTCAAGGTCATTAATAGTATCTTGTAACCTTGTCATCTCGGCTTTGCCCATGAAGACATTTGCGAAAAACGGACCGAGCGGTGAGCCCATCGCTACGCCGTCTATTTGCCTCTACAGTTGACCATTGCAAATAAACTGGACGTTTTGCGTGCAACGTGTCAGTAGTTCTTTTAACTTTTCTACTGGCATGCCTAACGGGTAGTTCGCGTCACGGGTAACGTCACAAGGGTAGTTTATTGGTTCGGCTACGAGTACATCAGTAAACAGTGATGCTACATCCAGTGATAGCATCCTCCGTCCGTCAAAGTTAATATCCTCGATAGTGTGGACAAACTCCAAGGAATCCTTCAAACTTAGAGGGTACAAAAGATATTTCAGTGGTTTAAGCTTTTCGACTAGCAACTTTGCTATGGTGTGATAGGGCGAATTCCTCATATCCAGGATTGAACATAGGGGTAGCCCGTGTTTGTGAATTTTTGGGAGGCCGTACATTTTGGGTATGGCCGTGCCCGCTGGTCTCAGATGATATTTCAATCAGTCGAAACGCAATGTATATATTATCATCCTCTCCCAAAAGACAATTGCGGTACAGCAGAACTGCATAGCTGACGCAATGTTGGATAGTAATTGCGTTTGATTCAGTCCTCTCCGACTGCTCATGTACCTCGACCTGCTAAATGTCCTAAACGAAAACTTTAACGTCTTTGGTACTGTAGGACTTGTTAGTAGCTGCTATATTTAAATCTCTATATTTGAGGCACAATCCAGTCCGTCGTTTGACACAAACAGGAAGGAGGATCTGCTAGGCTGATAGCATTGGAAAATCTTCAGATTGTCGGAAATAACTTTCGTCAGAACGGGCACCCCGATCGATTCATTGCTAGGTACATGACCGAAAGATCACCAAAGCCCCTGACGTTGACGGCAGAAAAGAAGAGGCTTCTCATCAGGGTCGCGTTTCGAGGGGACGCGTCAAGCGAACTTCTAAGAAGGCGCATAACTCAAGCTGTATCACACACCTTTCCAGCAGCTGGCACCCTTGTACTGTTCTCCACTAGTCCCATCCTACGGGAGAGGGCAAGAACAAACTGCCAGTCCAGATCACTTCTATGTGTATTTACTCCTTCACATGTTCCTCTGGGGGCGGAATATACTAGTTGTACGAGCCGGAGTTAGTTCAAAAAAAAAAATAAGGGAACACCCTCCAGCACGGCTAGGAAAGGGCCAAACAGAGAACGTCAACAGCTCTCTCCTCGCCTACATGGTAGACACAGATCACTGTGCGGATGCCGGGCAGGCCTTTCGAGTGATTTGCAAGATTCCATCAAGCTATCCAAAATCACATGGTCAGCGTCTATTGGCAACTGCAGAGGCAGCCGCAATCAGGCTATACAAACCAGTCTTATGCACACAGAAAAACCTCGTACAGGTCCCACAGTTATCATGGATTAAAACCACCATGCCAACCACCTGCACGTAATTACCCATCCCAGTGTCCACCATAACCTTTCCCCCTGACTTTGAAGGTAATTTTGTTCTTCACTTCACACAACCAACTCCCTCTAAAACCCCAGCCACAGAATAACTTCTGCATGCCCGCATTTTCTTATTAATCAATCCGACAGATATATAAATGTGCGGGCCTGGGGAGAATTAATCGAAAACCAAATTGTCTTTTGAAACCTTCAGCGACTCAACGCAGTGGAAGCGAATATACGAGTCCTAGGCTCTTGTTGCAATGAAGATAAACGCGCGATCACTGAGACAGTGCATGTGTTGGCCTGAGCTTTCGTCTCGTACTGGAGGCCATCATCAGAGACTGTAGGAGTGCAACCTCAAATGATCAGTTTTTTGTAGTCAAGTCATGAGAAGGTGGGGGGAGGGGAGGGGGGTAGTGTTCGCGATAAGGCCGAGTCCGCGACGTCGTGACGGCGTGCGTCCGCGGGTGGTAATTGGGTCGCGACTCGTGACTGCGTGAACCAAGGGCGTGGTCGCGTGTCTGCCGGTGGAGTTGGTGTCAGACACCCAGGCCTCCAGCAGTTCTCGCCCCATCTTACTGCTGACGTACGCTGGAGGTTGGATTCGTGGCCTTCTTCCAGGGTTTGAGCAGCGACCTGAGACAGTAGGTCAGCTCTCCGAACTGCCTGTTTTTTTCTCCATTATTCGCGAGCTCAGTTGTTGCCCGGTCTGCCCTGTAAAATGACGAGGACAGTCACGGCATGGGATCTTATATACCACGCCAGATTGCTCGCATTCATCTATTCAGTCCTTCATTTGCATGAATTTGATACGCATGGCAGCTGTCGGACGATGAGCGATACCCACGCCGAACTCTGTGACAATACGTTTAGATGTTTTTGACACATTCATAATGTGCGGTAGAGGGTGTCAGAGTGTTGGTGGCTCTCCTCCCTTTGTTCCCCATGGGCGCGTACGGAGGTGGAGGCTGGTGAAGCCGTTTGGGTATCCATTCCTTGCCAGTTGGTCCTGAAGATGCCGTAGTTCTCGTACTCGTTCCTCCGGTTCTCTGAAATGCGTCTTTATCCTTTGGGCGAGTCCTCTAACATAGCTGTGTTTATGCGTCATCGGGTGGATGCTATGGTAGTTTAGGACCTGAGCTCTGTTAGTCTCCTTTCTATACACCGTGGGGTTGAGTTCTCCATTGGGTCTGCTTGTGACGAGGACGTCCAGGAAAGGCAACTGTTCGGTATTCTTCTTTTCCCTTGTGAACTGGATGTCGGGGAAGATGTCATTAAGCAGGTCTTGGAAGTCTGTTAGTCTGCCTCTTTAAATTGTGACGAACGTGTCGTTCATGCATCGGTGCCAAAACGTAGATCTATAGTGGTTGAAGGCGACTTTGTCCAATTCCTGTAAAACTAGTTTCACAACGAGACCGGATGTTGATGACCCCATCGGCGTTCCTTTGATTTACTCGTATGGTATGCCATGGAAGGTGAAAAAGGCTTGTTAGGAGAAAGTAAAGAGTCGCAGTAAATAATCGTTTTTAGAGGTTTCTTTCTTTCGTCGTGATCGGAGGAAGCAGTGAGATATTGGACAGTTTAATATCAAGTTGTAATGACCGAACAAGTAGGTGGAACAGAAACAGAGAAGGTCCGGGAAACAAGCACCTTACTGACAGCCTGCGAACACAAGGGGTTTTTGCTTGTCAGAAAGACGTCTTATTTATGTTGGCCCCTGTGCGTTCTGGAACATTCTGGCCAAGGGCGTGCCAGCGGTTGAGGGCGTTCTAGAACATTCCTGCCTACGGCGTGCCGGCCGCAGATTGGCCATCGCGTGCCTGAGAATCCTCCCGCGGGAAAGTCTTGTGTATTCAGCCCGCCACTGATTGGTCCACACGCATGAGCAAAGCCATCAGGAGTACCCAATACTATAGCGTACGCTAATTGGCTGCCCGAGTTAATATGCCACGGCCGGCTTGGCCTGTTGCACAGCGTGTGGTTGCGCCGTCGTTTCCCAATAAGATGTGGCTCCGCACCATTTCCGTTCTCCGTAACATGAGTTGACAGGCGCACTGAATGCAAGAATGTTTAGGTCTTCAGTGTGAGTATACCCCAATATGTCCGACTATCTGGGATGTAAGGGTGTACAGTTGTGGGTCCACGTGATGGCCGCCGTAGGTTGTAGGTGTTGCCTACGCCCAGCGTCCATTAACCGGCATCAAACTCTCACATGTGGTTCCTCGAAGCTCTGCCTTGCCTACCGGCGACACCCCGGCAACCGCCTCGACCGGCGAGCTAAATCAGGTGGAGGCATCCATGTGTGTATCCACCACACGCGGCAAATCTGCTCCCCTTTAATTTCCCTCCCATCTCCTCCTCCTCCTGCCTCCTTCCATTCCCTCTCCCCCTTCTCTATCCTACCCTCTTACCCCACAGTCGGAAAGTCCTACGACGAGGGCAATATGCAAGCCGGTGGGCGGCCGAGGCCAATCAGGTCGTTCTCTCCCTAAACCTGGTGACTCATAGCGGAGAGCAGCATCCGTCTGGTGCGACAAAGTAGCCCTATTTATTGACAGCACTGGTTACCCCCTCGCGGGGGAGGGGGTTATGAGAGGTGCCTTAAACAAAAGCTGGGTTCACGACATCTGCGCGAAGACCGTAGCGGTCGAAACCATCAAACGAAAAACAACAATCCCTCTCCTCTTCCTCCCCCTTCCCTCCACCCCGCAGGTTGCTAAGATGAATCTGCTTACTCCGACAACCTGAAATACACGCGATCTTATAGAAAATCTGAGGAGCAACCGACCGGAACTAAGGACGGCACTCGTTACTCAGGAACTGGCACGTAACAAGGAAGACATTACTGCACTCAGAGAGACCGGCTCCTCCGAGCAAGGTCAACTGGGGGAGGTGGGTGCCGTCGACACCTTCTACTGGAGCGGTCGCCCCAAGGCAGTGACAAGACGTCGGCGTAACCCTCGCCCTGTCTGCCACAAAGCATCAACGAACGCATGATGAGCCTCCGTCTGCCTCTTCTGGAAGACGGACTTGTCACCATCTTTAGCGTCGACGCCCCCCTCATGACCAGCTATGAAGCGGCAAGGAAAAAATTATACGAGGACTTGCACGCCCTCCTGGCGACTGTGAAGAAGGTGGATAAGTTGATTGTTCTTGGTCACTTCAACGCCCGCATCGGCACAGACTATACTGCCTGGAGAGGAAGGCGGGGTCCTCATGGCCTTGGCGGCCTCAATAACAATGATCTGCTCCTCCTACGAACCTGCGCAGAACACCGCTTCTTATTTACCAGTACTTTCTTCTACCCACCGACGCGGAAGAAGGTGACCTGGATGTACCTTCGGTCTCGACACTGGCACCTGCTGGACCATGTCCCCGTCCGAGGGCGAGACCAGTAGGACGTGCTGGTGACAAAGGCGGTCCCGGGTGCCCACCCTCGTCTCGTCAACTTCATGATGAGGATTCGCCTACAGCCATGCAAGAAACCTCGAGGTAAGCGATCGCCAGGTAAGTTGAATATTGTTCTGTTTAATGTGCCTTCTCATTATCACCATTTCATCAACGAGCTACCTCAGCAACTAGACAACCTTCCGGTCGCCGCCGCCAGAGAACCGATTGGGCCAACTGAGGGATACAGTCCAGACAAACGCCCTGGATGCCCTTGTCCGTGCAGGTCCGGACAGGTTCGACGACGTGGACGTCGCCATCAGCAATCTGCTCGCCGAGAACTGCCTGCAGGAAGCCTGCTTTAACCGCCCTACGAATGCAAACAAAGCAACCTTCTACTGAAGTCACCGCCTTGTACAACGGCGAGTGCGACAGATGCAGGAGGCCTGAACGGCTCCCAAGACCGAGGAGATCCAAGAGTAAGCGGACCGAAACAAATGGATGAACTTCTTCGCACCCATCATGGCTGTCTACGGTCGCACAGCCAAAGGAACCGCTCCTCTTTTCATCGCCCACAAAACTACCCTACTCACAGAGAAAGTGCAAATTCTGAAGCGCTGGGGTGAGCACTTCAGAAGCTTCCGCAACCGTCCCTCAATCGTCTTTTACGCCTCCATCGACCGACTGCCACAAGTGGAGGCCAACGACGACCTCGACCTCGCGCCTACCCTCCACGAAACCATCCGGGCCGTGAGCCAACTCTCCAACGGGAAATCGCCTGGGTCAGACGCAATCCCTGCTGAAATTTACAAGCACAGCGGGGTAGCACAAATGTGGATAGCCTGGGATTATGAGTCAATATTACTGACGTACTTGTATCCTTTCAGTAGGCGTGCTTTTATTAGGTTACATACTTACAACTGCCGATTGGGTTAAGGAAGGGCGCTTATGCTGTAAAGTCCTTCGTGCTCTTGCTCCAACTATACTTGGTTTACTTGGCGTACAGGCTCCGTCAGGATGCCTTTCTCCTTCCCCTTAACCGCCCCGAGAACGAGACGCTGTAATACTGTCTATATAGGCTCATTGCATTGCACCCCTCCCACACGGAAATCTTCAGTAAAAGGCGAAATACTTAACCTTTCCGGATATCGATTCAACACGCTTTAGAATATGCCTTTAATGTGTGAGTTCCTTCATTGGTAGTAACAGGCTGCTACCCCCACTCCCCCTAACACCTATCGCCTTTACGAACCAGCCGCGTTGTGTCTGACCGATAGAGGTGGTGCTCCACATCGCGTTCCATGCGTTTACCGGGCGAGTTTGCAAGGCGCGTAGGTGTTGGCTGCGCTTAATCGATGCAGGTTTGCCCTTCGTGGCTTAGCCGTTCAGGCGTTAAACGCGGCCGCTGACTTCGTGTGCGGTCTCCTAAGGCCACTTGCCGTTTGCTTAGTTTGCTTTCGATTTGGTTCATTTCTCCTCCCTTAACTGCCACCAAAGCCGGGTCAGGAACGCCTACCCGACAATAGGGGTTTAGCCTTGCCTTGCACTATCACGGGTTCAGGTGTACGCCCGGGCGTCCGGATTTCTGTGTGGTCTCCTTCGGTCGCTTTCTTCTTGCGCTACGGCCGATTCCGTTCGCCTGGGCGGTTTGGTCGCCTTGCGGGGAGAGGTAGGTTTGCCCTATGCGCTTTCCGCTCCTTTTTTTCGGTTTGACGATTAGCGTACTTGCGACGTAGCCTTCGGATTGGTCAAGACAGGAAGGCTGTCTTCACATAGGCTTCCATCACTACCATCAAACATTACGCATTCAATATCCGTTGGGGCATTTTTGGCTTAGGTTATGGGATTAAATGGGACCAAAAGTTGAGAGTTATAGTTATGAATTCACTATTATTAGGCACGGTATAAAAGATTTACAAACTTTTCCCGCAGCATCCGTTCTCACTGGCCAATATGTACACTGTCTGGCCGTTCAGTTGTTTGGACTGCCTACTTTTCCACGGGCCGCCAATATTCACCTATGCGTACAATATCGATAACATATCACTGCTTACCTTTACGATCATCTGCAAATTATCTCCGTTTCCGAGTGCAGTCCAGAGACTGGATAGGCCTGAGCAACATGCGCATTTTTCATTCATACTTACCGTTGTTCGGGTTCCTCTTCTACCTCCCTGCTTGTCGACGGCATTTCCCGAGGATTCACCTTCAGTGCCAGTACTGTCTGGGGTACCTACAGCGGAATGGCCTTGGGCTTTTGGGTATCTCGTTCCTATTGGTTAAGGTTTACTTTTTAAATTTCCGCCACCTATTTCACCTCAAAAAAATTTACTTATTAACTGCCTACACCTATTTTTTTATTTATTTTTTTTTAACTTGCCCATGGCTTTTCCGTTTGCCCCACCCTTAAAACCCCCCTTTCCCACCGATCCCGTATTACAGGGACCTTCCTATCGGTTGCAGCATCCAGGCTACACACATTTGTCCTACCCACAGCGGTCCCGGCTTACGAGCCACCTGATACCGCTCTTTCAAAAGATTTGCCGCCAAGGACAAGTGCTCCAGGATATGAGGGACTCCACAGTCGTCCATCTTCACATGCGGAAAGGTAATCGCTGACCCTGCGAAAACCA